TATTTTGAAGGAGTCGTGTGTTCTTTGTTCATTGTATTTAGTTTCACTTCCCTTGTCCTGTCATTAGGCTCATGTCAGTCAGCTGTTCCTCCATGTGTTCCCACTTCCCCTAATCACCTCCTGTGTATTGAAGTCCTCTGTTTTCAGTGTGTGATTGTCAGGTCGTCTGTTGTCCACGCCATGTTCCCCATGCTTCCAAGTTCCTTGTCTAGGTTTTTCTTATTGTTTGTTTAGATTTCCCAGTTTAGGTTTGTGTTAATTTTGCTTCAGTTTGCCTTGCCCTTTGTTTGTACCTTTTTTACCAGCCATATTAAATGGCTCGCTTTTTGTTAACATTCAAGTTTTGTTCCCTGTTACTTGGAGTCTGCATTTTGGGGCCTTTTTTTCAATTCATACAGTCTGCCCTCGCCAGACTGTGACAAAAAATCTGCGAAAAAATCTTAAAAGAGACGATTCAATGTCTCTTTAAAAATAGGAAAAACCTGAGAGGGCTTGGAGAATGAAAGTGAATGAAACAGTACGCCTGGTAACAGTTTCACTCCTACTGTTTGATGAATATTTGTGGTTTTCCAAAAAAAAATCCATCTACTGTATTTGTATGTGAGTAATGCAAAGTGAAACTTGGCTTTGCATTTGGTGTGAACACACCATAGCTGTCATTTTTCTTCTTAATTATTATCTCCCCCGAAAAAACACTTTATTTTCATTTAGTTTTTTTCTTTAATTGGAAGCTTTCTGTCTTAAAGCAACCTTCCCACTTTCACAACTCTCAGTCCTTTATTTGCAGTATGAAGACTCCATATAATGAGCACAATTTCAAAACAACTCTTCTGATTCTTGTGAATCAACAATTTGTCATGTACCGGTAAACGTATTTAGTGCGCAAAGTAAGACCATTTCCAATCACATTAGAGAACGAGGCACAGCGACTGCAGTTATCTATGCGAGTGTAGCGGGAGATACACCGCATGAGATGCATTCTCGCCACTGGCAGCACTCCGGTGTAGGAAAGCGTGCTTGCCTGGGTAGTGAGTGCAAAGAGTCGGGTCAGATGGCAACTGCTCATTTGCTGCGCATGCATCGGATTTACCTGCTCTAGTGTCACATGCGCTTAATCAGACCACATGGACCTTGAACTCTGGACATGGCAGAGAAAAGACATTTTAATGTCCAAGCTGTCAGAGTCAGGTATTTGAATTCTTGTCTCTCTGCCAGGAAATGCAGACAACAGTCCAGGACTGTTGCTGATGTGTGAAAATGTTTTTTAATCTATCCTCTGGTATTCCTCCATCCATCCTGCAGCTTATGACACTTTCCTATTCAATGTACAGATATGAAAACCAGGGCAAATTTTCTTGCATGCAAAATGTTAAATTAGTCTTCTTTGCAGCATTGCTTCCATCACACAGCACTTTCCCAACCATGAATTCCCCTCAGCTTCTGCTATCTACAATATGCATGTCTCTCTTCTGTTCTTCCAACTTTGTGTTTAACTTCAGGCACCATTACCCACACAAGGCCCCAACTTTGAAGCTCACACCCACCGCTTGTCGTTGAAGCAGATGTAACTGTGGATTGTGTGTACAAGCCAGATGGACCAAACCTCTGCACGGTTACCACTAGCTACCACCTCTGTGGTAAGGAACACAGCCCTGTTGAACAGAATCAATCTATGCGCTTAAGGAGTGAGGTCCTTTTGAGCCACACAGACAATCAAGGAAGGAAGGTTGTGGAAGAAAATAAAAGAAAAAGGAAAGTGTGTGTGAGTGTATATGTGAGCAAGGATAGATAGAATGAAATGACTAACACAGCCTATAATCACTATGGTAAGCCTTTAACTACATAGGAGCATCTCCAAATGTCTACTCTTGGCTTGTTCTGTGGCTCGCCTAACAACAGACATAAATATGCTGCAGACACAGAATTCCAGGAAGACTCTTTTAAGTCCATAAGCAGAGCAACAAAATGATTTTAAACAACTCCAAAAGCATAATGCTGAGGGTGGCTCACATACTGCACAAGACTGCATTCTTACTGTAAGCGTTATTTTTTAGGTATATAAAAAAGCCCATGCAAAGCATTTTCCATTTAAGCTGTAGTGAGAAGAGCAGCTGTCCAGATTGGAAGTTGTGCAGTGGTGAGCTTGGGAAAGGCACAGGCTGCATGTGTTTGCTCATGCTATCACAGGCTGCTTTGTGTTTACAGATGTTTTAACGGTTGTTGAGGAAGACCAGGACTGAACTACCACAGTGGTCACTGGGAACCATTTCAACATTTGAGGTGAACCAAACAGAATGTTCGATGGTTTTGACATCACCTGGTTATCAGCAGTTTTTCCTGAGAGCTTATCAGAATGGTACTGTAAAAGTGACAGAGATAAAGATATTTGATCCACTTTGTTAACAACGTCAAAAGGCCCAAGGGCAAAGACACAGAGCTCAAAACGTATCCTCAGACATTAGTCTCAGCTACACCAAATTTATTACCTGAACTACGTACCTTTCCCTGCTTCCTCGCCTCCTCCTGCCACATCAGAAAATATATGAAAACAATAACGGGAAGGCATAGAAATTATAACCCGTAACACGAACCTCAACTATAAATAACAATTCAGGCCCGAGGCAAAGAAGATGGACTGATTTACAACAAAAATCTGAGAAAGAACGGTTTCTTTTGCACCAGTACTGGCATCGGGAAGAGAAATAACAATATGTTCAGCACTTGAACTTTCAAACTTGATTCCACTTATTCCTGCTATAAAAATCAACCTAGAGAGCCTGTGTACCATCCTGAACATGTATGACTGAATTGCAACTTGCCATAATTAAATATAAAGTAGTTTTAGAGCAGTGAACAGACCGTTGGAGGGGGCCTGACCCCCGCACACTAAAGAAGTCAAAGGTGGAAAGTTACTTCTAAGACATTTTAAAGTAGGAATCAATTATTTTTATAGGAAAAAAAACTTTAAATGAGGGAAAGAGAAGAACTTTAGCTAGATAAAAGATGGTGAAACGTTAATTTATTGTCACTGTGTTTCAGATTGCTGCAGATTGCATAACAGCAAATGGAGAAAAAAAAATAGAAAAGACGCACTAGTGTGGACTTGATCTTAATTTGACCGGAGAAAACACGATGAGTTGGCATTCTTCGGTGGATTCCAGTGGTATTTTTCCATCTGTTTCTCATTAAACCCATACAAAGGAAGATGAAATGTCTTAGTAAATTGGCAAGCTATTTCCCTGTTTAAGAATACCGAAGATATGGCAAAATTACAAAACTAAAACTACTGCTTGATTCCATTTATTGGTTACTCAATCAATAAAACTGTGTACTGATAAATAAGTCAATCAAGCTGTGTTTTCTTGAACATAATGATCTGCAGGCTCTTTGTACTCTCTGCTTACAGCAATCTGAGTTTGCATTCTAAAAGCAGGAAAACACTGCACACTATTAAATGTCACCTACATCAAAAGCACTGTAAAAACGAGAGGGAAATAAATTGTCCAATGCTGTCAACTGCACTATTAATAACTTAAAATAGCATATAAGGCATGCCATACCTTCCATAACCATGCAGACATGATGTGCTGCGATGCTTAGGTGCTCTTTTTCAAAGGCAATCCAAGTATAGAGAGAGATTTTACTAATGCAAATCTAAGGTAATGATAAATAGTTTGCATGTAATACGTGCACGTGGAAGTGCAGGGCCAAAATCAAACAGTTTAAATTCCACTAATGTTTCTCCAGGTAATATGCATGCTTAACATTCTGGCAACAGGTGCTGCAGCAGCCAGCAGGCTGCCCAGAGATGGCCTGGAGATCTCAGGTCACTGACTCATGCTGTCTGGCTCACCTTTTAATGGCAATGAACAGATGCACCTAAGAATATACTCAGAGCACACTACCTTGCCAAAATATAACTGGTTTGCACGCTTTAAGCGTCAATAAATGTATGCAAATGTATTGAGCATCTGATTTCAATTATAGGCCTTTCTCTGGATCAAACAAAAACATTCAATCAACAGATTAAGACAGAATTAAGCTGCCTGCTGATGGTTAAGCTGCTAACTCAATCTTTTTGGACTACAATCCTTACCATAATAAACTACAGCCAATTGATTTGGATGGAAATAAAGTCTTTTCATCCAAATGTGCACAACTATAATCCCAATAGATGCCTTAAATCCACAATGTACTGATTCATTGCTTGAACAAGAGTCAATTCTGTTTTATCCAAGCTGAACCAGGTCCATCTGCAATAAAAAACTTTGGTCAGAAAATGCCTTCTTATCTGACTTCCAGAAGTAATCCTCATAAAATACGTCCAGGAATGCAGACACTGCTGCACAAGAGATTTTCCTCTTGACCACCTTCGACTGATCACTTTTTGGGGGTTGCTAGGAATTTCTCAAACCTGCTTGTTGCAGAATGAGCATCATTTTTTATTTTTCAGGTTTGACACTTTTATCTTAGTTGTAGTTGTTTCTATCATTGGGCTAAAATGTCAATTCATTATTTCACACTTATTTTGTGGTTGTTTTCAAGTTTTTGGTTTTAAAAGGTAAATTATGGCAACATCAACTCATTCCCTCATCTGCAGTATTCTTTCACCTAATTATTTCAGATAGATCAGTGGCACCTGGGTTAGCTGGCTGAACATCCTGCATCATCCTGTCCCTGGACTTTGACAGAGCAGCCCCAGTCATATATTTACCCCGAGTCTATTGATCACTATCCTGCCTGACAAGCCAGATCAGGAAAATGCAGCGTTTGCTCAACAGTGAACCTTTCCACATGAATCTGAACAAACAGCACTCTGCAACTGATGTCTGACAAAAGACGTGATAACAAGTGTCAACAACATGCTGCACGCAAAACACACTTGTTAATATTTGATGAGGTGAACATAGAAAGAGAGAAGAATTAGGTTTTTTATCTCACATGTTATTTCTCACTCTAACTGGTTGTGACACAAAGCTGTAAGAACACCAGTAACTTACCTGATGATGTCGTGTGGTCCCAGTCTGTGAGAAATGTAGATCCTGGAGAGGGCAGCCAATCCAGGGAGGAAAGAATGAGAAGAATCAGGAGATTAGAGGCGAGTGAGAGAGCCATGATGCTGTGGAGAGACAGAGGATAGAATAAGAGAGGACAGAGACACTGTGATTATAATTATCAGCTGAACTCCATGGTGACACTCCCATGTGAACTAGCCTCCTTCCCCCACTAACGCCATCTTTTTCTCTCTGGCCTGTGAGCACAATTTGTGACCGCTATTTATTTCAGTTGGTGTACATGAAACCAAACACTGGACAGGATGTAAGGAATTATCACGGGAGTTTGCAGCTACGGCATTTCAAAGCTGAAAATATGAATGGTGGGGTTTACGTGTGTTGTTTCGCTTTGTGTGAACTCTAAAAGAAAACATTTTTTATCATTTCAGAAAAGATCTCAGTAACATTTCTATTAGTTACAGCTACTTGAAATAACTTTTCCATGACGTACACTCTACCTTCTGACTGTTTAGATGGTTAAATCCATTCGTTTCACAGTCGATTACATCATTAGACAGATATATGCTCCTGAAAGCCTGTTATTAGCGCTAGGGCAAGTTTTTAAAACATTACTTAGCTCCATGTTTCTTTGGTTTATTAACGATAAATGTGTCAGTATTGAAAAACTGATGCACTATTACATTTAAAGTTATTAGTGGAAACAGATGTGAGTTAAAACTTCCAACAAATAAAAAGAAAAATTAGCATTTGTTTGGAATAGCTGTCACCATTTGAGTGAATAAAATCGTGTTCCGATCCATGCTTAATCATCCAGGTAAGGAAATTCCGGAAACTTGATTCTGTGATTTGCAGTGGGAGAATGTCACATCCGCTTGAACAGAACCAACTTTCTGTGAAAATCATGTTCCTTTTGTATCAGCTGGGAATTATAGATCTTTGCTAAATTAGAGTTATCAGCATTTTCTGTAGGGTAGGTTTCTGGTGGGTAAGCAAAAAGTAGTTATCTAGAAACGATGTAACTGAATGAATGGTGGGGTTTACGTGTGTAAACCCCCAAGGATGCCAAGGATGTCAAACCCAGCAAACTGGCTTTTCAAGACCAAAATATTTTAGATAGAAACCAACAAGTAGTTTGACTTTGGCACTTTGGATCTAATTATGAAATCCTGTATGGCAATTAATGGCAATTTTAATGTATGACACAAAAAGGGCAAAATATCCTTAAAAGAAAAAGCTGTTGAGGCTTAACTTGTAGAAACTGCATTTCCCAACAAAAGTTCTAACACAAACCGCCTCTCCTGCCATCTTCGTAAAACATATATTTTAGTAGTTTATTTATTTGAAAATATGATGGCAGCTAATTCACAAAACGCTCAATAAGTCAGTGTTAGAGACAACCTCTAAATATAGGCCAAATTTTCAGTCCGCACCCTTGGCTATTTACAGCTGTGGCTCCACGACTTTACTGGGCAGCAAACAACCCCATCCCCACAGGATACATTTGCCTAAATTACGTGGTCCAAGTATCTTAAGATTCCTGAATCCAAGCTTATCTCATTTTATCTTATCTTCCACATTATCTTATGTAATCTTGTCTTATCTTATCTTGCAGATCCCACAGGTTACAGGAACTGTTCAAGACTGGAAAAGTCTGGTATCTTAAAAAACCCTAGCGACAAGAAAATGTCTGGATCCAGCTCACTAGCCCATATTTACCACACTAGTCATCCATTTACTTGATTTGGCTTAGATTTATTACACATTAAAACAAAGAGTCTAGATTTAAGGGAAAACAACATCTCAGTTTGACAAAAGAAAAGGTTTTCATTTCAGGCTTTTAGTCCAAGGATAGACTTAATCCATGTCAGTAAATCTGAAATATGAAGCACAACTAAAGCAAGAACAAACGGAAAAAAACAACAAAAAAACTAAACATTGCAACATGGACAAAAAAAACAAGAATCAACATAATTTTGCAACTCTGGTTCGTCACATGTAGCAAATTTTTTAATGAATGTGGCAACAGACAGGTCGACTGTAAGCAGTCAGTCATATTTGTGCTGATGACTTCCAAGGGTCCAGAGGTCATATAAAGCCAAGTTACACAGTGCAAGAATTCATGGCAGAGAACTGTCAAGAGGCAAGCTCATGCAGACTTACTTAAATGTTTCTCAAATGAATTTCATATTTTTGGCTTCCGTTCTGTTGAACTATTATTAACCCGTCCGATAAACACTTTCAGATAAGAATTTTTTTTTTTTTTGCTTGTTTGTTTGTTTTTTCCCCCTTGGAAAAGTTAAGTTCATTGCACTTCTTTTTAGCATATTTTTTTTTACTTCTTTACCATTCTTCCAGTAAAACTACTAAATTGGAGCAAAGGTGGCCCCTTTACCCCAAAATATGTCCTGATGTTAATCCGTACTTTAGTCTCACCCTTTCACATCTGGAAGCATCTGTGGACATCCTGGCAAGGCTGGTGCTTCTTCTCCATCTTGTGCAAGCCTGTCCCCCGTTTTTCTTCCTCTCTCACCCAATTACAAACTCACAGGCTGACAGGAAGAGTTGTCTAAGCCAATCAGAAGAGAGGGAGGCTAAACCCAGGCCTCTTGGGGTCCCTTGGTAAACATTTAAGGCCTGCGTCCTCAACCCCCCTCCCACTACCTCTGCCCTAAAGCACACACACACACACACGTGCATACAACATGAACACATCACACATACTAAGGCACACAGATGCACACCTTGACTTGGCACCCCTCTGCCAGCACCATGCCTCGCCTATGTTTCCTTAAATCTACTATAATCATCTATGTTTGTTCTAAAGAAGCTGACAGGGGAGGCAGAAGCCAAAGAAAAAAAGGTTAGGGGGTGAAAGGACACATCGTTTCTGTTAGTCCCTTCTATAATTGAAGAAGGACAACATGTACACAAACACTCGCAGAGCAATGTTGCAAGCTAGAGTTTAGTTTGAGCTTCCTTTAGCGAGAAAGCAAAAAACAGAAAGACTGTGTAGTTGGCGCTCTGACATTTTGTAGTCAATAAATATTTTCTATGTACACTAATTTCATACTCTAAATTTACTTATGTGCACTGTTGTGTTTTTGAATTGTGTCTTAGGGCAGGGGAGTAAAAGCAAGTCATTCCAAAATACATTTTTCTTTTATCTTCAGTGTCCACAATAACTTGTTTTTGTATTAAAATGGAAAAAGAACCATACTTTCTTTTTAAGGACTCTACATCCAAACCATAGACTGTATATAGAAGATGGGCAACGTAATAGTAATGACATTGTTTTTTGGACTACTGTGCCCTAACGTTTTGTCTTTATCATACTGGCACTCCTCAAGCTCCTTTGCAGACATAAATGTCCAAATTTATTTGGGTAAGAGGATAGAGTGTTAATTTATCGGACAAAACCAGCACCCTGGAAAACTAAAAGCTCAATAACCCCAAGAGGCCCGCTTAGTTTGGTTTCATGTTAATGACATTCGCAATACAACACAGAAGTCAGCAAAACAGTCTGTGCTCATGTCCACATATAATACAACAGGAAATTTGAAATGAGATTTAGCATTTGGTCATTAAAAGAAAGAAATTATGCTGTAAAGTTTTCAAGGCCATCATGAAACACTGATTCGGATTACAAAGAAAAGAAGGAAGATTATTTTATTCACTAACAGATGGGGGGGGGAAGGCTTTGGGCAATTTGACCTGCATTTTTCATTTTCCCCAATTCAGTGTTTTATTATTTCGTGGGGCATTAAAGAAAAACAAATGTTTATAAGCTCTAAATGGCCTGAGGTGATTCAACTTTGACAGAATGCAAATGAATTAACATTTTCACATTTCCACAACAAAAGTGGAATTTTAAAATCATAGCTACTCTGCTAAATGCTACAAAATATTTATAACAATTGCTTGAGACATTAAAAAGTTTTTGAGCACTGTGATTTAAAGAGTGGATCTGTGTGTATCCTGCCCCAGGATGCACACACATGCAGTAAATTATGCATAATTTTATTTTTGCAATTGGATTTCTGATGTCCCCTGAGCAGAAAAATACAATCAATCTTAAAAATCTGTGATGTAAACAACGGAATTTTTGTGGAAGAAAAACGTCTACAGGGCATCTTTAACTGCATACAGTTTTAATCATGAAATAATGATAGCATGTCAGTAAAAATCATCACCCTGGGAAGCTTTAAAACAAATATAATTTAGATGCCAGATGCCAGACAACTACATCGTCTTCAAAACAAGACAAAGTAAACATAAACAACCAAGAAAAATGTGGAATATAATGTTATGGAGCCGTGATTTTTTTTCTCACCAGCAACCCAACAGGCTTATTATTTATGGTTTCATAGAGCGTGTCACTGTGTCTCAACATGGTTTAGCTATACTTTGTGACTGAAGGACAATAAATAAACATTATTTGGAAAATGTTGTGGCAGAAATTATAGTCATTTTAACGAAATCTATTCAAACAATGACTGTGTTGTGCGTTTGCCCACTACTGGTTCCTGTAATACGTATCAGCAGGAGTGTACTTCTCCAAAATCATACGTCAGTTTCTGTGCCAAAGCTACGGGGTTTTCTTTAGAGGGGTGGAACAACACAAAATGATTATGGTGGAAAAAATTATTTTTACCACAGGCCTGATCGCTTGACAATCATCATCATGAAAACAAAAAATAAAATAAAACTAAACTGTTTTGAGATATTTCCAGTTCACTTAGGCCCTGAAAAATCTTTAAACATTACAGCTTTCACCAAACTAGCATCATTTAACCAGGTATAACAACTCCACAGGAGCATCACGGTGTAGGAAAAATGGAACCACAATGCATTATTGTGGATGATTGCAGTGCAATTTCAGTCTCGGGTTCAGAATTGTTATATCTCTAGATAGCATGCAAACATTTTTCCTTAACTTCAACCCCAGCCTCAACATTTTAGTAAATGTAACACTTCCACATGAGTCTGCACATTACACCAGGTAGTGAGTGAGAGTCTACCTCGGCAGAGCCAATCAGACAAGAGTAAGGACCTGAAAACAGCAGCAACCAGCTCCTCTTAATAAGCCTTGTGCTGCTGGATGTATTTACATACACTTGTCTGGAAATCAGTATATTTGTGAAGAAGCTAGGTACATATAAATATATATGTAATTTTTAACCTATGCACATATATGTTTGTGTGTCCACTTCCCTATATAAATATGGCTACTGGATGGTTCTAACGTCCCCTGCTCTTATTTCATAAGAGAGTGCGGAAAACTCAGAGTCAGCACATTGGCATGAGAAAAGCCTCTGCTGGAAGCAGATCAGGTCACACATCTGCAAACCCCGCTCATGTCTATGTGTGTGGGAGACCAGCAAGGGAAAGAGTGGGTGTCTGTGTGTATATGCATGCATATGTGTATAAATAAAATCAAGCATGCGTGTCAGAGAGAGAATGACAAAAGTAATGAGCACAAGCACGAGTCCAGCAGAGTCAAATTGCTTTACAAAATTTCCAGTTGTGTTTGTGCGCACGCGGGCATACAGCGGTTTGTCTAAAGCTATCGACTATTAAATGTTTTATGTTTTAAAATCAGGTTTTTCATCTTTTACAGGTGCCTGACGGTGGTAAAGCTGCTACTAGTCAAATTTGGCCATTTCAGAGACAGTTTTTAAAAAAATTAATCAGAACTGGAAAATTAACTGTGCCATTAGGCTTTAATGATTTATTGTGATTTACTGAATAGTTCAAATTTAGTGGTTGAGGTTTTGGAGTTCAATCTAATTTGAAGGAATCAAGTCTCTATCCAGTCTAACCCCTTCCAGCTCTGTTATTTGGACTAATTATATCTGTGCAACATGTACCTTTCCCTTTTGGTCTAAATCTGCTGTTTCTCTCTGTATGTCAGACACACACAAGCACATTCTGAAAACCATGACTGAAGCCCAGGTGTACATGGATGTGTGCAAAATGTAATGGTTTCCAGAGTGCTGTTGAGCTGTCAGAGGTTTTGGAACATAACAGCTGTACTTAATGTTGTGTGTGACGACAGCGAGACACAAACCGATGGCTGTAATGTCTCTTAAAACTACTCGCCTCATGTTTTGAAATTTCTTTTCAGCTGCACAGTAGGGGCTGGTGTGTAATTGCTGTAGTTACACAGCTTTTCGCCACATGTCTCATCGTTGCTTTTCTCTGCATTAATGCAGAAGTGATCAAATAAAGCATCCAACTGAAGATGCTTTAGCTACATTAGGATGAATATTAGCAAGTTATGCATCTATAAAAATTGATGTGATGTTTAAGAGACACTGCCGACGATTTTTTTATATCTGTATTTATACAGAGAATCGATTATGGGTAAAACTTTAAAGTAAAATACTGTTTTCAAGCAACTGCACAAATGGATTTATGAGATTCTGAAGTGAAAGTAAATATGGTTCTTCTAGAAAATAAAAGGCACAAAATACACCAAAAACACACAACCTGGACTGCTCAAAGTGCAGATGGCCACAAATTTTGGGTGATGAATAAGAAGAAGCAGAGCTGGAACTCTGCCTTCTGTGTATCTCATCAGAGTGCAGTGTGCGTCCTAATCAAAACTGCAAAATGAGAAACATTGTTCTCCTGTGGTTCGTAAAACGGTCAAGCGTTCACTGATGAAGAGCAAACAAACTGAGATTAGAAGCTTGCGAAACTGGTAAATGCATGTGCTGTTAATAAAAACCCAATAAGGAGGAAAAACAAAGTCCCAGACTACTCTTTTGGCAGGTGTTTGGATGGTGGTCATTTTTCTGGAATGATATAAACTCGGTTAACCTATTAGTGCAAAGCTAAATCAATTACCATTTCTTAATATATTGTAAACAGTGAAGTCATTTAGTCAGTAAGAAGCTTGATTACATGAATGTTTGCAGTTCCTCTTAATATTATTGTACTGGTTTCATATGATATTGAGTGTCTTTGGATGGTGTTGAATCCAACTGGGCAGTTTAGGTAAATCACAGCTCAATATTGGTGGGATAAAAGAGAAAATATTTAAAAAGAAAACTGCCAATTTCTAGAGAAAATCATAATATTTGTACTCGACATGCAGTACTTCTCAAACTTTAGAAGCCAAAGAAAGCTCACACTCCACAATCATTAACAATAAAAAAGATCCCAGCTTAATTTCAGATGAACTAAAAAGTTAAGAATCGCAGTATCAGCTCTTCCTTTTGTTTATTCCCCCTTTAAGTCATATAATTCACTCCACGTTTTCCCCCAGGTGTGCCACCCCCACCACCCACATGCCCACCAATGAAACCTGTGCAGAACCACTGTCCTAATGTCTTGCGTCTACAATAACAGATATAACTGTACAGATATCATAATCACTCAATTCTGAATTTGATGCATGCAAAGACACCAAAGAAAACAAGCACCTTCTGAGCATTTTAGAATAGCTTGATCACTTTTTAAAGAAACAGCGCTTCTGTCTCATTCCAGATGTTTGTATTTCTCCACTGAGGTTTCGGTATTTGTCAGCATGCTGTTTAACACAGCGGGACTGTACTGTACAAACACCCCGGAGCTGTAATTAACGGGACTTAACGGGTAACAATAGAAAAGTATACATCCGTCACATCCAGCTATGGCTGGCATCCCA